GGGACTGGACTAGATGACCTCTCGAGGTCCCTTCCAGTCCTACAATTCTATGATGCTATGTGGGGTACATTCTCCCCTACCTAAATGACTGATGTCCTGGCAGTGAGATATCTATGATGGGCAATTTTATCTTGTGTGTCTATTGGCATGCTCAAGTAGTACCAAAAGGTACACGTAATAAGCGAGTATTGCCTGTGGGCCTTTACTCCCTAATGACAGTAGCAAAATTAAGAACGTAGTCACAGATTGGCCAGATTGGCTTCTAGTTTTACTTCTGCTAGGCACCTCTATAAAACTTCTCACTCGTGTTGTTGTTAGAATTAGGCAAATTCACCCTAGCTCCAGTGCAGAGCTCATCTGGTGAATTTCCTGTTTTGTGCTTCTTCACTTTGATCTTCATGGAATGAAGTATTCCCCTGCTACAGGATTTAGTTTGATTGTAGAATGGAATCATATGAAGATTCACCACCTCCTTCAATTTGTATGCTTGCATTGGCTATTTTTTAATCAAATTTGCCAGATTACTGGAGTGTCTATCACAATTCTACCTCCATAGCTTTGGAAGCAGAAATGAATCCACAAGGACAAAGCATGTCCCGGTGCAGGGTTGGATGGAACCTTCTCCCAACTCTACCTGTACCATGTACATCTGTAATTCACTTTCTAATTGTTGTAGTACCATATAGACTAATGACTCCCACCTATCTGCAATTTTCTTATTTACTGTGGGACTAAGATTGTGTAATACGTCTCTATCTCCCACTTCTACAGTAGACATGATTACTTTGGCATACCATCGCCACTTGTTTGCCAACTGATGTTTCTCTGTTTTCTTAGTAGCTAAATTATATGCATAGCAAAGTCTGCATCTCAGGTCCTTCCCATGCTGCTGATAGGTTACCGCAGCTTGCCTTTGCTGTTGGATTTCAAAGTACAAATCAGTTGATAGCGAAGGATGCCTGCCAAACATAGAAAGTATGGGGTCTCTCCCATTGCATCATTCTTAGCACAATTACATACCAATCCTTTAACTGGCGACTATACTTGAGGAAGATCCTTTTGTCCTTTCCTGCAGTTAGTGTTTACCCCATCTAGAGTATCTGCTTGTCAGCAACGGATTTATTAAACTGTATTGGGAGAATTTTCAGTCTCCCATAAAGTATCCCAGACTTTATATCAATTCTTCATTAGCCAGCATTTAAAGAATGCTGTTTATTGAAGTTAGTGCCTGGACTATATGTCTGTACAAATAAATGCCTTTTGCAGTTCAGATTTCTTGAAAATATGCTCTGTACCTTTAAGGAGTAGCCCTGAGTTAAAAAGGCTTCTGCAGAAAGATTACCCTGGATTAAGGGAACTATGATGGGAGAAGGCATGGACAATGCCCTATTCCCACAGTGGTCCAGAGACCAGACAACATTGCCCCAAGCATAGATGATGCTGGCTGAGGCAGAAGATGGCTGGGATGCCCAGAGGACAAAACGATTCTGTGCCTCCCTTAGCAGCCAGCTTCACTGTGACCATTATAAAGATCCTATCACAGATTAAAGTTGCCATCCCACAATGCAACCATTGACTGGGAGCAGTGGTACAAATGCTTCTGGCACCTGCGTCAGTGTTGGGGCAGTGCTCAAAACACTGAGCACATGAAAAGAGAATTTTAAGCATCCATGAATTTTCAAAAAGCCAGCTGAGGGATTAGAGAGACCGGAAGGCAAGGTGATATCTGTTGGAGTTATTAGGCCTACAGCTCTGAAAATGCTCTAGTAACTATTTCAACAGGTAGCACTGGGACTGCTTTACACGTCACTCTGGCTACCTTCGAAAATATGTGACAATCCCAGAACAGTGTTGGAAGACTAAAACTAACCACTATAAAAAATTACATAGCCTGCTAGAAACAGGTCTGTCCCCTTCTTTCACCCCAAACAGTCCTCCTCTTCACTAGTTTGAGAGGGATGGACATATGGGGAAAGGATGGCTCATTATACTGGAAAGGTGGTGTGTGGGTAAAGTTCAGTAGCTAGTGGGGATGGGTGAGGAACTCGGGGGACTCCAGAAGGGTTTCATAACTTGGAGGAGGCTTGGCATGTTTGTTCAGGGGGTTCTGGCAGAACTCAGTGGCTATGGAAGGGGTTCAGATCTGGAATTTGGTGGTGCAGATGTAGCAGGGCCAGTTTAATGACTCAGGGAGCCATGCAGGGGGACCCTACTGTTTATGTTGATGGGAGCTGCAGGCCTTCAGTACTTCTCAGTGTCTGGCTGCAATTCTCAGTAATTCAATGCAGTTATTCAGTGTCGTCAGCATGTGAACAACAATCCCTGGGGCCCCTACAGGTCAAAGAGCCATTTTAAGAGTCTTCTGCATGTTGCTGTTTTTATCTTTGCTCTCCCAATGCCATGGGTATGATGCTAATTCACAGCCAGAAACTAACACAGTGCTGTCAGATTGTCAGAGGTATTAGAGACTGGTGCCTCTCCAACCACTTTTTTTTGGAAATGTAATGTCAAGAAACCCCGCGGTGTTTATGCTGCCTCCCTTCTTTTAGGAGATTTCCCGTTCTGTATCAATGCTGTATTTTCCCCTTTTATTCTAGCTTGTGAGCCACCTGCACGCATCTCTAATGGACGGGACGACCGTGGCTGGAAAAATGATTTCTTTGTTGGCTCAAGTGTGAGCTACTCCTGTAACCCTGGTTGGTCACTTGTTGGAGTATCCTCCATTCGTTGTATAGCTGGTGATGGGGAAATTCCGCGCTGGGATGCACCTGTCCCTGAGTGCAAAGGTGATTCATTTTTTCATCACACTAGAATGACTGAGATTAGGAAGGGATGGAGGGCACATTGAAATGACCTGGGGGCTATTTAACATCTTAGCCCTTAAGTATTGAAAATATGTAGAGCCATGGGCCAACTCACTGCAGATTCCTCCTTTGCAGCAGACCAAACACTCCCAGCTGGGATGCCCACTGCCAGTGTCTTCTCTGCCCTGGCACTCGGACACATGATCTGTCCTGACCTATACCCTAACTTATGCTTGATCCTCCCATTCCAAGCTGTGACGGGTTGGATCACAGAAACCCCCTTGGGAGCTGCCACCCAATGTGCAAAGACTACCCGTGCTTCTGTTTTCCCTGCCAGCTCAGGACTCCAGCACCCTGTCTTGCTGAGGCAGACTCTCCCATCTGCTCCAACACGGACCCAGGGTCTGAATCACTTGCCCCAAAGCTGCAAGTTTACCTGAAAACAGCTCACAGTAGTGTGCTTGTCTTTAGCACTCAGATGCCCAACTCCCAATGGGGTCTAAACCCAGATAATTCCGTTTTACCCTGCATAAAGCTTATGCAGGGCAAACTCATAAATTGTTCGCCCTCTATAACACTGATAGAGAGATATGCACAGTTTTTTGCTCCCCCAGGTATTAATACATACTCTGAGTAGATTACTAAATTTAAAAAGTGATTTTATTAAATACAGACCGTAGGATTTAAGTGGTTCAAAGTAGTAACAGACAGAACAAAGTAAGTCACCAAGCAAAATAAAATAAAATGCGCAAATCTATGTCTAACCAAACTAAATACAGATAATTTCCTCACCAGTTCCAGAGCACTCCCTTTTACAGGCTAATCTCCTTTTAGCCTGGGTCCAGCAATCACTCACACCCCCTGTAGTTACTGTCCTTTGTTTCAGTCTAAGATGAAATTGGATAAACATCTTAGCCCTTAAGTATTGAAAATATGTAGAGCCATGGGCCAACTCACTGCAGATTCCTCCTTTGCAGCAGACCAAAACCTCCCAGCTGGGATGCCCACTGCCAGTGTCTTCTCTACCCTGGCACTCGGACACATGATCTGTCCTGACCTATACCCTAACTTATGCTTGATCCTCCCATTCCAAGCTTCCTGAATTCCTCCCTCAGACCCACCCCTCACCTGTCCCATCTCTTGGTTTGTGGTTCCCAATCCAGCTGTCCTGATGGTGGCACTTTTAATGTAGAATCCCCTCCGTGTGTGTGGTGTCAGTATGTTTGTGGGGACAATCTGAGTCCAAGTTGGAAAGACCCCAGTGGTTTGATTTAGCAGCAGGAAGCTGGAGTGGAGGCAGCTAGCCGCATGTTAATGCACTGGCCACTCCATTGCCCCATCTGCAGTATTCCCATAATCCCTGGGGAGATCTGCCAGCAGTGCTAATGTCACCGTGACTTGAATGCAGGGAGAAATTATTTGCCACATCTGCCCCTGGAAATCGAACTTTCTTGGAATGCACGGTTGAGAAAATCTGCTGCTGTTATATAGCCATGGCCATGTGTTCTCAAAGTGTTGGGATTGCATAGAACAGTGTTTCCCAAACTTGGGCCGTCGCTTGTTCTTTGTTTACCTGCTGCGTCCGCAGGT